AAAATGTGAAAAACGGCAAGAACTCCGCTAGAAGCTGACTAATTAGGCCCATGGACACCCTTAGGCCCATGCCGACCCTCATCGGCTGCTAGCTATTAGGTTGTCCGGAAAGTTCTCAGCGTTTTGGGTGTTTCACTTTAAACGATCGTAACTTTTTTAATACTCATCGGATTTAATCGAAATAGGCACCATTCGAATCAGCACACTTTTGCCAATGTGACAGCAGTCGAGAAATCCCATCAAAGTAAAAATGGGTTGGTCGAAAATTCACGAAATCACGCAAGGCTTTTTTGCCTCTGGTCCCTGATTGATTGAAGTATTTTCCAGCAAAGGGGATTCTGAAAATGTTTAGCGAAAGGTGATAGTTCGGATTGAGCGAAAGGTTCTGAAGAAGTATTGATGGCGGTTGAGGTAGAACTTCAACCCCCAATTCGTTCAATTTATGGATAGTGATTTGTGAAACGTGTGGGCGGGCGTTGTCATGCAAAGGAATCGGACCCTTTCTTTTGATAAGTGTTGGCTGCATCTGACAAAATTTTCGGTAATTCGTCGATTTCTTCACAGTAGGGTTCTGCTGTGATGGTTTGGCCTGGTGATAAAAAGTTATAGTGGATCACACCAGCCGATGACCACCAAGCCGTGACCAGAATCTTTTTTCGAGGGTTCGGCTTTGAAAATTACCTCGGTGGTTCGTCGAAATCCAACCACTGTCCGGAACGTCTCCTGTTATCATACATGACCCATTTTTCATCACAGGTGACAATTCGGTGTCCAAAAAAAACGCCCCCCAGGCTGTTTCTGCTGCGCGAAGCAATGCAGAAGGAATTCTACGAGATTTGCGTGGCCATATTCCTGCCGGTCACTCGAATTGTGGGACACCCAATTGTCGAGTTTTTTTCACCTTCCCAATGCGTTCCAGACCATCTGCAACAGTGGATTTGCCAAGGCCTAGCTCTTCTGCTATCTCTCGAACTGTTTGGGATGGGTCAGCCTCCAAAATCCCCCTAAAATCCTCGTCAGATATTGCTTTAGGTCGACCGCTATGAGGTTCATCTTCAAGGCTAAAATCTCCAGAACGAAATTTGTTGAGCCATTGCCGCACAGTGCTTTCTCTAGCACTATTGGGCCCCCACACCTGGTTAATTTGTTGAGCTGTTTCGATTGCGGATTGCCCCAATTTATAGTCGAAGAAAAAAATCGTCCGAAGTGCTCTTTTCACATGCTTCAAAAAGTCTTGAAAAAAAGGGGTTTATCAAGCAATGGTGGAACGGCAATTATACCATCAGATAGCGCAAGAAATTCTCTACAGGATGTGCTACTGAGAAGCAAGGCAGAATGAGTTTTTAATCAGCAGTGAATGTACAAAAAATAGGTGCACAAAACGCTGAGAACTTTCCGGACAACCTAATACATCTAGTATGCCACTTATGCTGGATCTTTCTCTATAACATTTCGGGATGCTTTTTCTACTGCTTTTCTCCGCTAATCAGATACTTAGCACTTTTTTGTGCCTATTTGAGTTCCGTTTCCCGCAATTTGCGGTCGCGAACTGTGCCTTTAATACAGAGCAGGGCAAAGTATAGAGATGTTCGTTGGGTACCGCTAACCCACAACCCTTTATAATGCACTACAAAGCGGAGAAAGTGACACGCTGCCTGCAATTGCTGGACATCATCCTCATGAATCGCAGCGGGTGCATCGACGGGTAATTTTACAGTTCTTTTCAATATAGATAGGACCGTTCATCGGGATCGTGAACTGCTAAAGAAACTTCGAAGGCATGGTGACACGATACCTCAAGAAAAAAAAAAAAATGACGTATAGGGGGATTAATATGCCTAGCAGGACACAATTCGGCGTACCTGAGCAGGCGCTGCGCCAGCCTCTTCCAAGGAAGGTACTCAAACCAGGGCACATCATTGGTTGGTTATTTTAGTCGCGTCGCATCGACCCTCCTCCCTTTTTACCCCCCCCCCCTACTTTTTTGGGGTGGTACGGACCCCCCATTCCGCCTATGTCCTCCTCATCAACCTCATCGAATCGAGCCTTGAGCCTTTCGAGCGGGAGGTGAATAGCAAACAGGAAAAGCCGCGAGACAATACGACTCCCCCACCTTCCTACCAATTCTCCCAAGAATTTTTTTTTTTCCCAAGTTCCTGCCACTTTTTCCAAAATCAAATTTCCCGAAAACTTCTCTACTTTTTCCCAACAGTTTTGCTGTCGAGCAGGTTGTATTACGCATGAAACAGGAAAATACTATATTAGTACAACACACTCCACCCATCCTTTACAGCGGCCAAAAAGGTAAATACGACCTACCTCCCTACCAGTTGACTGGTACGTCCCCCCCCCCCCTTTAAACACAACGCTTGGAAGCGGAAAAGATCCAATTGTCAAAATAAATTTTTTTCGGCTCAAATACGATACCCCCTCTCCTGGCGCCCAAATACGACCCCCACTATTGCAGATTCCCCAACAACCCTGACTCAAACAGCGCCCTATCAAGCTGCAAGGTATCGACCCAGACGCCCACCGCGCCCGCCCGCCCACCGATGCCGATTCTTGTACTCTTATGCCGAAGAATACAATCAGAGTTAGGAGAGTGGGTGTGAAGCGGCTGAACGGTGCTGCATGGAATGTATGAGTACCTGATGCCGCCGTATTCTACCGTGACATTATTTGGCACGCATAGCCAATAGGGAAACTCTTCCGAAATCTCTTATGAAAGTGTGTAGAAACAAAGCTTTTTTGCAGGTTTGAAGGTTTCACTTCCCTTCTTTCGCCAGTTTTCTCACTAATAGCACGCTGCCTCTATGTTTTGAACAAGTTCCAAATTACGCAATATTTGTGCATTCAAAAATCGGACTCCACTCGTGTGGTTAGTGTTGTGGCTGACATCAACATCAACCGTAAGATAGAAAAAGAGCTGTGAAGGATTTCGAATAGCTACAAGTCACCTGAGTGTAATGAGTAATATCCATTGCGCGGCCTGCTTCATTAGTTCTTCAGCAAGCTTGTATTTCTCCGGTCCCGATACCATAGTTCTTGAGGCTCGTCCACCATTCCCTGCGCGATGCCTGAATAAAATCTGCAGCTTAATGGTGGCCTTCGCATTTTGAGCCGCGTATTGCATTCGAGCGCGCGGCTCGTTCCCGGCCGAGCCATCTCGATTTTCAGCAAGAATTTTGGCTGACCGTCGGTAAGCGAATGCTTAACTCTGTCAACATTTAAGATTGAAGACATATAGATGTTTTCACGCAATCCTGGGCGTTCGGCCGGTGTAGAGTGCCCGTAGACACATTTTCGACTCTGTCTAATAGCGGATGCTTCAACGTCGCAGTCGTAGACCTAAATACCAGTTAAAACTTATCTCTGAGAGCGAAGTACTTTTTGACATCCAAAAGAGAAAGCACGAACCATTTTCAGCATCTTTGAAGCCTTAGGGGCGTTTCCTCCGAGAGCGTCCGGTTCAAGACCTTTGGCCACACGAGACCTGCGAATGTTCCATTTATTGCTCGGTTAACATATATGACTCGGCATTACTGGTTGGTTACTGTTATTGGCGCATTCTTGCGCGCCTAAAAACAGCCATCGATTGCACTTCAAAACTATGTACAATCCTATAGACTGAGAACCTTGTCGCAATTCTTCTTTTCCACTGTTCGTTTTTTTTGTCGCGCCTACCGTTTTCAATAACGGATTTCTCCAAATTGCTCTACTGTCGCTCGCCTCATAAATAAATAGAAATCCATTGCCCCCAAAGTACATCCTGCCGTTGAAGAAAATTCTAGCGAATTAGTCCCTGCCCTCTTTCTCAGGATTTCATCCTCTGATACGACCCCTCTTTCCCCGTAGCCATTCCACCTACATTCTGACTACCATCTTCCTTTCCGAGAAGTTCAACCAAAGAAAAAGTGTTCTTTTACAAAAAGCAAGCATACGCCCCCTGCCGGTCGCTTCAGTGACCAACTAGACTCCAGACCGTCCAAGGTATTTCACCAGCGAACAACGTCTCATGACCATCCAAGGGGTGCTAATTCCGCCAAAATATCAACGCCTCGCGAAACAGTGACAAGAAAATGGCACCCTCAAGCCCTATTGGAAAATCCAGTAGAAACGTAGAAAGACCCTGACAGTACGTCAGTTTTTAGAGCCCACAAAGAAGAGATAGGTTACTTGATTGGAGGAGCCCCAAACATACCCGACCTCACCAGGGCCGTCCTACCAATTACGGAGAAGGGTCTGCAAGTACCGTTTTCATCAAGATAACAACTTCATGGAGCTGCTGAAAAGATGGGCTGGAAAAGACCCCACGGGTCCCGAAATTTAAATAGCAGGCGCTCTGTGGCGTAGTAACAGCCGTATAGAGACACTTATCCTCATTAATTAGAATCAGTGAAATTGGTGTACTTTTTCAGTGGGCTTCGAACATCGCGATCTGGAGAGAAAAAGTTGAGGAAATCGTGGGGCACCGTAACAGCAGGTTAAATAATTTGAACCAGTGAACAAACCTGAAAAAATTGTGCAGATCAAGGAACTTCCGCCTGGCGGCATCCGTCATGTTTCCATTTGATGGACACATTGCATTTGTACCAGGATCTGAACAACTGAACTCTAAACTTGTCGCGGAGTAAGTCATTGTTTAGGGTACGCCGAGGTGACTTTTACAGGTCCTCGCAGATCTGGTCTCCTGGTCCCCACCTCTGACTGTCTTGCGGCGAGTAACAAAACGTACATATAATAGCTCCTAATTTCTGGGAAAAAACCAAAAAGCCATGCATATCTCCTATATTTCTTTACTTTTGCTTCCTACGTCACATTGGTGAGAAGAATGGTCCGTACAGAGCACATTTTGATCTCAATTTTTCGTTTCTGACTTCTGTAACTGACCAGGTTTTTCTAGCTCCTTGACACAAAGGCCTTCAGAACATGACGATCCGGGATACGTGGTGCAGTCGGTATCCGACCTGCATGCATTACCCTTCTCCCACATAACACTGTTTGTGTAATATCCACTGAAAACAGGTTATCACTATAGATGCAGTCTGTGATTACAGTACAGTAAGCATTTATCGAGTACTCTTTCTAAACTCGAATCTGAAAGGGCCCTTTGTAAATTCCTGAAGGCTCACATTTTATTGTATAAGCACATAACTGTTAGCCTGGTTCCGCCACAAACCTTGTAAGCACATCCGATACCGGTGGTCTTTGAGTGAACCATCTGGAAGTGAAGCTTTGAAAACTGTACTAAAGCAAGGTTTGAAAATCCTGCTACCGTAGTGTATTACCGTAAACTACAATCTGACAGAAAGCGTTACTTATAGGCTTTCCAAATCCTCAAATAGCAGAAGCTCTCATCCCAATGGAATAACTTACATTAGCGAAGTGGTAAAGCGCTGGATTGACGTATTTATTCTCAGGATCCATGCTTCCATATGCACGCACACTTCCCCACCATCG